ACACCTTGACCTTAGTCTAGTGAAACTACCTTCCAGCTTTTTGCCTTCAAAGCTGTAAGAGAATCATCTGTGTGGTCTAAGCCACTAAGTTAGTGACAGTTTGTTATAGCACAGATAGGAAACGACTACATGGCTCAAATCAAGTCTATGCCTACACTGTATTTACACTGGCACAGCTAAACACGGTGAGGGGCAATCACATGGTTATGCTGGCCAGTCACACCTTAAATGAAGGTCCTTGAGTGAGCCTTCAGCTCTGCCCTAAAATCCCATGATTCTAATCTTGCCTGCTCATACTCTTCCATTATTTTAGGGGATATTCCATACCTCCTTTCTCCTCAGCTTTCCACTGCTTCTAATCTCTTCTTTCAGCTAATGAGTTATTTCACTGAAAACAAAAACAAAAAACAGAATTAAGTAGAAATAAAGTTGAAGACCTTCAGCAAGCTTCTACCACCTTCCTGTGTCTCTGGCAGGAGACCACAAGGTTTCCCCTTGACTATAAATGAACTGTTTACGCTGGATTACAGAGGATTTTGTCTGTTTTGTTTGCTGCAATATCCTCCACTGCAGAGAAGAGTGCCTGATTTACAATAGGCACTCAATGAATAATTTTTGAGTGAATGGATAAATGAATGAATGAACAATAGAATGAATGAATGAATGAGATAAGTTACAAACACTGCTCTCAAAGAAACCAATTAAGTAAATAGATGGATCCCACAAGAGTAGAAGGAGACAAGCTAGAAATATGAGCCGAGTGTGCTCTAGGGTGACAGGGAAGAAGTCAGGTGATATTTCAGGGATGATACACACACTTAGATTACACAGAAGAGTATGAGCTATTTCATGACAGTGTGCCATTGGTTTTTTCCTGCATTCCCTTGCGTCTATGTGAACATGGAAACTTCCTTTTCCTTTGAGAAATCCAATCCAGGAATGAACAGAAGATGTATGCTAATACTTGGGTTTTAGAAATGAGTGGCTTTTGCAAAATTCCAAATATTATTGCCATATAAAGACCTTCATTTTTTTTCTGTGTGTGTTTGTGTTTGTGTGTGTGTGTGTGTGTGTGTGTGTGTGTGTGTGTGTGTGTCTTAGGGTTTTAAAAATGGTGGGCAGTATTTAGAAGAGAAAGCACCAAACTTACCATCTTGGATATTCACTCTCTCCTCCCCCCCACTTTTTAATATTGAAAATTTTTGAAGCTACACAAAAGTTAAAAAAAATAGTTCAATCAATAGTCACATCCCCTTTACCTGGATTCATCAACTGTTAATGTTTAGCTATATTTGCTTATGTGTATATTTACCCCTGTATATACACCCGAGCCTCTGCATACGAGCCACTGAACCATATGAAAGTGGGTGATAAACACAACATTTTACCTCTTCCTGTTTCAATATGTGTCTACTAAGAGTAAAGACATTTATTAACCACAATACAATTTTCAAAAAAAATTATTGATTCAACAATATCATGTAATATACAACCTTGCATAATTTCCATTTGCCTGAAGAAAAATATCCTTTAGAGCTATTTATTTCTAATCCAGTAATGAATCAATTTTGTACTCATTGTATTGATTAATATTTGTCTTTAGTCCATTTTAATCCGGAACATGATTCTTCCCACCATTTTTATTTATTTGTTTTTTATAGCATTAGCTTTTTAAAAGAGTCCAGGTAAATTGCACTGTGAAGTGTCCCAGACTGTAGTTGTTTCCTCATATTTAGATTTAAATGTTTTTGGTAAGAACACTTTTTGGGCCCCCTGTGTACTTCTCACTGCTTCACAGAGACATATGACCTCATGCTGTCTTATTATTGGTGTCACTAAGTTTTATCACTTGGTTAAGGTGACTGCCATATCTCTTTATTGTAATAATATATATTTACCTTTGAAATTACTAAGCATTCTATGGAATAAGAGTATCATTCTTGAAAAAAAGTATTTTTGGAAAATCTTTTCTATACATTGGTAATAGTAACTGTAAAACCCTGTGACCTGTAAGTAAAATGATAGTTATGTGAGTTGAGGAATGGGGACACTTCCTGAAGCCATGTATCTATGTCCTAGGTTGTTCAACTATTTTTTTTAATTTTTTAAAAAATTTTATTTATTTTGAGAGAGAGAGAGAGAGAGAGAGAGAGAGAGAGAGAGACCTGGGGAGGGGCAGAGAGAGAATCCCAAGCAGGCTCTGTGCCATCAGCACAGAGCCCAATGCGGTGCTCGATCTCATGAACAGGGAGATCATGACCTGAGCCAAAATCAAGTCAGACACTTAACCAACAAAGCCACCTAGGCGCCCCTCCACTATTTTACTATTGTAAGAATCTTTGTGCCCTAGCCAACCTGGTGGGAACCCAGGTTTTTGGAAAACAATTAGGGTGATCTGAGAGGTGAGACCTGATGATGTCCCCCCTGACTCTCAGAGACATCTGTGTGAGCCCTCTTGGGTTTAGAATAAAAGCATGACTTATCCATCTGTGCCCTGGTCATCCTGGGCCAATGAGTGGCTTGTGAGGGACTATTACAAAAAGTTGCACTTTAACCAAAGCCAGCATAGCCAGAGTTTGGTGTACAGAAGAAAGTGATTTGGTTTATCCTGTATCATTGATATCAGAAAGCTGGATTTTAGGAATAACTCTTTTTAGAAAATATACAACATTCTAGGAAAAGAAATCATCCACAGGGCTGTTACAAAAATTAAATGCGACAATGTACTCAACAACCATAGTACAGGGTTTGAGTGTGTGCTAATAAGTAAGTGCTCAATGAACGTGTTTCACTAACATTGAAGTTTTTATTATGCAAAAGTACACTAATTCTTACAAAGCTGTAAAATAACAAACATGTAATTCTGAGGAGATCTGAATCTTTCCCCTGTTTAAATATAAGCTTATGTGTAGTGGTCAGAAAAATGCATCTGGCATTTTCCTTGCCTTAACTTGGCTTACTGAATAGGTGATGTGATTTTAAGGCAAAATTTCAAAACAAATTTGCATTATTGTTTATCTAATTTACACATGGCCACACGCATCATTCTGTGTTCTCTTTACTGTGAGATTATCAACGGCAATTTTTTTTTTGTTTCTTTGTTTGTTTTTTACACCTGTGGAAATATCAAGAGAACTAATTCTGTTTCAGAAAAAATAAGCTCCTAAGAATTCTTAATTTTCTAAGCAAATAGAAAGTTGCTATTTATTTCTTAGAAAATACAGCAAGGAATCAAAACAAAGTTGGACTGTGTTCAAAGTTGGACTGTGTTAATATCTGTGTTCAAATGAGATTGGTATTTTGGGTTCTCTAAATAGTGGCTAGCCTTCCAAGCAAAACAGTGCTTAGGGACTCTTGATGGGTTTGGAAGTATGTATTCTAAGTGGCTTACAGTAAAAGAAAAAAAAATGAATCGAGGGTATATTTTGTCTGAATTAGTCTTTTGGAAGGGATTGCATGATAATGCGGATGAGGGAGAAGATACAGGCAGAGGGAACTTAGGGCCTGCCAGCCAGTGTTGTCCCCATGCTGATTCAGAGATACAGGAAGTGTCTTTCTTCTGTTGGACTCATAGAACTGGATGAAAAAACAAAACAAAACACTACATTTCCTCTTACACCTCCCCCACCTCTTCCATGCTGTCGTTTGCTGACCAATGCTTAAAAATATCAGGGCATAAGCATATTAAGATACGGACATCAATACTGACATCACAGTAATGTTGTCTCCACTCGCTAGGAAAAGCCTGATGACATCATTGGTGTGGCTGCCCCCAGATCATGTTCAGCCTTATCTCCTGAAGTCATCAGAAAGTATCAGAACTGTTTCAGTAGTTATTCTTTGAAGTAGGTCTATTAGGGAAAAAGTATATAAGTTATTCCTACTACAGTCTTGCAAATCAGTTGCTAATGAAAATATTGATGCTGTAATCTGCCTATGTACCTAGTAATGCCTAGAAAGTTCTTGGTTTGAGAGCTCCAAAAGCGTCTTCTGATGCTACTGAGATATTCAAATAAATATGCATGGGGTATTAATATGATTGATAAGGATAGCGATTTTTTTAATCAAAAATGTTTTCCTAGCACACAAACCTGCAATTAATGTAGGAGATTTCATGTGTGGGAAATCGTAGAATTTCAGGTTTTATAGCAATCAGGATCATTACTGTGACTCCCTTGGGATTTGTAAAGAATGTGTATGATGTTCAATTTGGAAGTACCGCAAAAATGTTAAAGGTGGTGATACAGTGATTTCCTAGGTCGAAAGTAACTTGGAAATTCAGAGTCTAGTTTTGAAAGTCTGTTTGGTTTTGCTAGTGCTGGGTGGTTTGGGGCCTGAGGCTATACAGAAAACTCCCAGCAGGCCAAGTAGTAAAATTTGGGTCATTATATCAAGTAGCTTCTGCTAAATAACAGGCTACCTCAAAACTTAAACTCTTAAGACAACAATACCCAGTTATTTGGCTTGAGATTTGTGGGTCAGCAATTTAGGCTGGATTCCACGAGGTGGTTCTGCTCTTGGAGCAAGATCTCTAGTTGTATCTGTATTAGCTGCTGGGTTAGCCAAGGTTGGCTACCAGGATGGTCTTTAGCTGTGACACTTAACTTCATGGTTTCCCATTTTTTTTTAAATGTTTATTTATATTTAATGTTGAGAGGAGTGTAAGGGCAGAGAGAGAGGGAGACAGAGAATCTCAAGCAGGCTCCGTACTGTCAACACAGAGTCCAACACGGGACTTGAACTCACGAACCCATGAGATCATGACCTGAGACAAGATCAAGGGCCACTTAACCGAATGAGCCACCCAGCACCCCTCCGTCGTTTCCCATTCTATAGCAGAGTAGCTTGGGTTTGTTCACAAGGCAGCAGGACATTTCCAAGACAGCAATGGAAATGCGTAAGTTATTTTAAGGCCTGGACTCAGAATTGGCACAATTACTTGCCACATGTAATTTGCCAAAGAGAATCATAAGGTCAGCCCAGATTCAAGGGGTGTGGAACTAGACTCCACCTCAAGATGGAAGACAGTGCAAAGTCACATTGTGTAGTCTACGATAGAGGGAAGGGAATGTTACAGCTATTGTTGCAAACCTCCTTCAGGTGACTGAGGTTAGTTTGGTGGGTGATACTTGGGCTCTTTGCAGGTCTACTAACAAGATGAACATACTCTGGAGCCGACTTTCTTCTCACGATCTTCCAGGAGTAAAGAAATACCCGTGGTCCAATATCAGTTTCTTGCAAAACCCATTCATGGGTGTGGAAGTCTCGTCCTCTGAGGCAGTATAAAACAATTCATGGGTAAGATACTTGGAACAATTAAGAGTTTTAAGTTGGGTCAGGAATGGGAAGAGTCAAAATAAGTGGTTAAGTTACACTTGAACCTAGCTAGTTCTTGGCCAACGCGTGGGGGGGGGGGGGGGGGGTGAATATGGTGAGTTGTAGTATATTCAGAAATACGAGTTAAGCTGGATGCTGCAATGCGTGATTCTCCTCTGAATCTGCAAAAAAAAAAAAAAAATGTTTCATGCTCATTTTTTATATTTAATTTTGCCTGTAAGCCAACTAAAATAAATAGCAGTGAAGTGTAATGTTTTGAAATAATCCCATAGTTTTCAAGTGCTCTTGAAGTAGAAAGCAACAGGGCTCTATGTGCTATTCTCTACTGACTTAACACTTACTGTTTATGCTGCCTAGAATGGTTCTTTTTAATGGATACTTGGCTTGATATCCTTTTAAATTATTAAAGATTGGAGGTGCTCATTAAATGAGAGATTAAAAGGACTGGTAGACACAGCTAATTATTAGAGGCCCAAGAAGAGACATGAAATGCATTTTATCTAAGGCTTTAGTGGATTCTTAAAGTAAATGAATAGTTTAGTGATAAGCCAGTCGAAGTTAATCAATTGAGCAAAACTATAGGGAAGCTCTTTGAGTCTAGATTTGAAGGGTTTCTAAGTAATCGTGGTTAGAGACTTGCAGCTGCTCCTTATTTCTTTAATTTTAGACCCTTGAGCTGCTAATTGGTCAGAAAATTGGGTCCAACCTCTAGAACTACTTATGAGTGGAGGACGCTGTGTCTTTGTGGGGAAGGTCTGCATCGCTAAACATTAGCCGGTAAGAAGTTGGAGTGAATCCTTTTGTGGCACATTTGTGACTTACAGGTTGTCGTGAATCATTCTGGAGGCAAAGCTCTGAGGAGGTGTATTTTCAACCTCCTCACTTCCTGAACTTTTCAACCTCTCAACTGTTCCTTTACCTTCCAAATCATGGGCCATGTATTATTTTTGCCTGCTTACTAAGAGGGAATGTTGGTTGTTGACACAGTCACCGTTGGCCAGTGAGATTAGTAATATGATACAGAGATTTTCACCACTTAAAAGTCACTGGTTCAACATGGCTCAGATAGGTAATGACTTACAGTTATTCTGACCTGACAGCTGTTTAGAGGCCCATTTGAAGCGAACTATTTCTCAGTTCACCTCCAGACAGGGGACATGTTGCTTCTCTGGATTGCAAAATGTCATCTCTGTTGGAATCTTACATAGCAGTGAGGCACAGGGTTGAGTCATCATCATGAAGGCTAAAATAACATGTTCCCTAGAATTAGGAACATTTGGCTGGCTTTTGTGTAAAGGTTTTGAGCCCTGTGGAAAAATAATATCGAGTTAGTTTCTCCCCAGAGTCAAAGTCAGTCACTCTTCTTACAAGTTTAATACCATTAACTAGTTCAAGGCACCAGGGCAACATTTAACGCGTCACTAACAATCGATGAGAGCTTCAGATAAGATGTGTTTAATGTCCCTTTCTTGGCCTTCAACAATTAGCCCCGCCTACCATGCTTCCTAATCAGTCATGTAATGAACATCTCTGATTGGAAACAAATATCTGCCAGCCACTTAAGGAGTGATTGAGGCACCACGGAAGATAGGGTTCAGAGAATTTAAATCACCAGGGACTCATTTTCAGCTTCACAGAGAAGGTACATAGTTCAAAGACAGTGGCCGAAGCAGACTGCAAAGGGAAGGAAAGAATGGAATGTCAATTAGAGAAATGGGATTGGACACACTGTTTAATAATAAAACTTTATTTAAAAACTGTGTGCATTTAAAGTGATCGTGAAAGGTAGACATACTGTTAATGGCAGTGTTTCAAGGCCTCTTCCTCTAATTGTGTGCCTGAATATACATCAAGGGCTCCGATAATCCTTTCCGTGGCATAACCTTTGTTTTCACTGATCAGTGGTTGTCATTACATCCAATGTATGCCTACTGCAAGCACTGTAATAACTTATTTCTGAATTTATATTACACTTTGTGTGATGTTAGTACAAAGGATGCAAAGATTTTCATCCACAGTGTCAATTTATGTCTACTCTTTCCAAATTTTAAGGGTCAAATCTGTTATCACGGATCCGCTCTCGTATGGGGGTGTCTTACCTTCGTGGCTAATCTGTACTTCTTTTGAAGGACGCACACTTTTGTTGTTGTTGTCGTTGTTACCTCTTGCCTCGCACTGCTGAAAATCAAGCTATGTGATCAATGGCGGATGAATGAATTTTTTAAGTCACTTTTGAGCTCTCTTGAGTGTAGTATCAAATTGTATTGCTATTATTGTTATTTGCCACGCAGCCCAAAGTTTAAAGCAGGAGGAAGAGACAGTGGTTCTCAATCCGCACCCATCCTAGGACGTGAGGCACGAGTATGGAGAGCTTGTGCGCCAGTGGATCTCAATGTGCCATGCTTTGGCAGCCCTGTATTTCTTGAGGTTATAAAAATTTACCAACGGGCTTAGAAATTCTATGTGCTAACCACTGTGCGAACCGAGTGCTGTAAAAACAGGCTCACGGTGACGTCAAAGGAGCCGGGAGATCCAGCCTTAATTCTATAGTCCACATTACTACTCCCTAGAGAGCCCAGGGGACGGAATGAAGCAGAGAATGTGTCTATTTCCAGCCTTCTGTACTCAGAACCTGTGTTGCAGTAGGGATTATGTGCTGGGCTGAAATATGCAGCCCATACACTTTGAAGCCACCCTGATCTTCTGACACAAGTCTGTTCAATTTAGTGTCTTCCTTTTTTGTATTAATGGAATGTGTTTTCAATTTCCTTTCCTTGGACTTTCCTGGGCTTCTATTCATCCTTCAAAACTTTTCTCATATTTTCTTTTTTTTATTATACCTTTCCCTAGTGCTACTCAACAATCATTTACTTACTTATTTGTGTCCCGGTTAGACTTTGGATTTACCTTTACTGCTGTATAGACGACAGTGATTTGTAAATGTGCATTCATTTCTGTTTCTCCCAGTAGTACAAGAACTATTGGAGGGTGAAGACGAGGCCTGCAATTGTTACATCAATGCTTTCTTCTCTACCCTCCTCCTTCTCAATGGCAGGGGTGTATATGGGGCTGCACAATACCTAAGGGGCACTGTTAAATGTACTGAATTGGGGAAAAAATAAGATTTTATTTAAAACTTTCAGAGGGAACGTTGTTCAATCTTAATATCAGAATTAGCTCTTTTTCTGTTGAAAATGGTCTAGCATTGGGGTACCTGGGTGGCTCAGTCGGCTGGACATCCGACTTCAGCTCAGGTCATGATCTCACAGTCAGTGAGCTAGAGCCCCGCATCGGGTTCTGTGTTGACAGTTCAGAGCCTGGAGCTTGCTTCAAATTCTGTGTCTTCCTCTCTCTCTGGCCCTCCCCTGCTCGCACTCTGTCTCTCTCTCTCTCTTTCAAAAATAATGAATAAACATTTTTTTTAAATTTTTTGAAAAAAGAAAATAGCCCTAATAGGAATTTTTAATGTGTGTACTGCTGATCAAACTGCCGTAATATACGAAATGCCTCTAACTGTAATAGTATTTGAATAAACTTCACTTGCGGATGATGGAATAATGTTGTCCGTTTTCAAGGTGGTTGAAGAAAAGCAAAATTCCTAATGGACTTGTAATTCATTCAGATGATAGTTTACTTTTTATTTTTTATTTTTAAAAAATATATGAAATTTGGGGCGCCTGGGTGGCGCAGTCGGTTAAGCGTCCGACTTCAGCCAGGTCACGATCTCGCGGTGCGTGAGTTCGAGCCCCGCGTCAGGCTCTGGGCTGATGGCTCAGAGCCTGGAGCCTGTTTCCAATTCTGTGTCTCCCTCTCTCTCTGCCCTTCCCCCGTTCATGCTCTGTCTCTCTCTGTCCCAAAAATAAATAAACGTTGAAAAAAAAATTTTTTTTAAAATAAAAAAAAAATATATATGAAATTTATTGTCAAATTGGTTTCCATACAACACCCAGTGCTCATCCCGAAAGGTGCCCTCCTCAAAACCCATCACCTACCTTCCCCTCCCTCCCACCCCCCATCAACCCTCAGTTTGTTCTCAGTTGTTTTTTTTTTTTTTAATTTTTTTTTCAACGTTTATTTATTTTTGGGACAGAGAGAGACAGAGCATGAACGGGGGAGGGGCAGAGAGAGAGGGAGACACAGAATTGGAAACAGGCTCCAGGCTCTGAGCCATCAGCCCAGAGCCTGACGCGGGGCTCGAACTCACGGACCGCGAGATCGTGACCTGGCTGAAGTCGGACGCCTAACCGACTGCGCCACCCAGGCGCCCCTGTTCTCAGTTTTTAAGAGTCTCTTATGTTTTGGCTCTCTCCCACTCTAACCTCTTTTTTTATTTTTTCCTTCCCCTCCCCCATGGGTTTCTGTTAAGTTTCTCAGGATCCACACAAGAGTGAAAACATATGGTATCGGTCTTTCTCTGTATGGCTTATTTCACTTAGCATCACACTCTCCAGTTCCATCCACGTTGCTACAAAGGGCCAGATTTCATTCTTTCTCATTGCCACATACCAGTCCATTGTGTATATAAACCACAATTTCTTTATCCATTCATCAGGTGATGGACATTTAGGCTCTTTCCACAATTTGGCTATTGTTGAGAGTGCTGCTGTAAACATTGGGGTACAAGTGCCCCTATGCATCAGTACTCCTGTATCCCTTGGGTAAATTCCTAGCAATGCTACTGCTGGGTCATAGGGTAGGTCTATTTTTAACTTTTTGAGGAACCTCCACACTGTTTTCCAGAGTGGCTGCACCAGTTTGCATTCCCACCAACAGTGCAAGAGGGTTCCTGTTTCTCCACATCCTCTCCAGCATCTATAGTCTCCTGGTTTGTTCATTTTGGCCACTCTGACTGGCTTGAGGTCATATCTGAGGGTGGTTTTGATTTGTATTTCCCTGATGAGCAACATTGAGCATCTCTTCATGTGCCTGTTGGCCATCCGGATGTCTTCTTTAGAGAAGTGTCTGTTCATGTTTTCTGCCCATTTCTTCACTGTATTATTTGTTTTTTGGGTGTGGAGTTTGGTGAGCTCTTTATAGATTTTGGATACTAGCCCTTTGTCCGATATGTCATTTGCAAATATCTTTTCCCATTCCGTTGGTTGCCTTTTAGTTTTGTTGGTTGTTTCCTTTGCAGTGCAGAAGCTTTTTATCTTCATGAGGTCCCAATAGTTCATTTTTGCTTTTAATTCACTTGCCTTTGGGGATGTGTCAAGTAAGAAATTGCTGTGGCTGAGGTCAGAGAGGTCTTTTCCTGCTTTCTTCTCTAGGGTTTTGATGGTTTCCTGTCTCACATTCAGGTCCTTGATCCATTTTGAGTTTATTTTTGTGAATGGTGTAAGAAAGTGTCAATACTACCCAAAGCTATCTACACATCCAATGCAATCCCAATCAAAATTGCACCAGCATTCTTCTCGAAACTAGAACAAGCAATCCTAAAATTCATATGGAACCACAAAAGGCCCCGAATAGCCAAAGTAATTTTGAAGAAGAAGACCAAAGCAGGAGGCATCACAATCCCAGACTTTAGCCTCTACTACAAAGCTGTCATCATCAAGACAGCATGGTATTGGCACAAAAACAGACACATAGACCAATGGAATAGAATAGAAACCCCAGAACTAGACCCACAAACGTATGGCCAACTCATCTTTGACAAAGCAGAAAAGAACATCCAATGGAAAAAAGACAGTCTCTTTAACAAATGGTACTGGGAGAACTGGACAGCAACATGCAGAAGAATGAAACCAGATGATAGTTTAGAAGCTACTCATGTGATAAATCTATCATAAAGTAGTTTTGGAGGATGAATAACTAAACTAAGTATATGCCTGGGGGTGCCTAGGTGGCTCAGTCATTAAGCTATGGACTCTTGACTGCGACTCAGGTCATAATCTCATGGTTCATCAGTTTGAGCCCTACTTGAGGCTCAGTGCCGACAGTGCAGAGCCTGCTTGGGATTTTTTTTTTTTCTCTCTCTCTCCCTCTCTGCACCTCGCCTGCTCATGCACACACACTCTCTCTGTAAATAAATAAATAAACTTTAAAAAAATTTTTAAAAAGGATATGCCTGGTAGAAAGGGAGATTGGATGTTTAGGAAAAAGGCTTAGAAATGGGGTGTTTTCATTGCCAGATTCACACCATGTTGTGTTAGGAAAGCAATGCATGGAGTTCATAGGCTTGATTCCCACAAGTCTGTGGTGTCTTAATGTGTCTTAATGACATGTTGCTGTTCCAGGTGTGGTCCTCTGGGCCTCCGGCATTTGTATTGCCTGTTGAAAATACAGCCTCTAGGGTCCCACCCTACACCTTTGCAACAGCATCTCCATTTTTTTTTTAACGTTTATTTATTTATTTTTGAGAGTGAGAGCACAAGCAGAGGAGGGGCAAAGAGAGAGAAAGGGAGAGAGAGAATCCCAAGCAGGCCCCACCCTGTCAGTGCAGAGCCCGATGTGGGGCTTGAACTCACAAAGGGTGAGAGCATGACCTGAACCAAAATTAAGAGTCGGATGCTCAACCAACTGAGCCACCCAGGCGCCCCTAGTGGCTCCATTTTAACGACAATCCCAGGTGGTTCACACTCACATTACAGCTGACTGGCACTTTTATTAATATATGTCGTTGTGATATGCATGATGATTACGGGAGATTAAGTCCACCTGAAAAAATAATTAATTGCTGTTTTCTTCCAGGAAAAGAGATGACATACGTATTTAACACAACAGCTTTCTTGATGCCTTTTACTGGAGTAGCAGTAAAATATCTGAAAATCAGCTTATATCTTCCGAATTTATTGTGAACTGACAGAGAAGCAAAAGAAAGGAAAAAGAAGAATACCAAGTAGTCCAGTTAAAGTAGCAATTTCATTTCATTCTGTCAAGGAGTGACTTTTTCCTTTTTTTTTTTTCTTTTTAAGTTTATTTATTTTTGAGAGAGAGAGAGAGCACATGCGTGAGAGCGGGGAAGGGGCAGAGGGAGAGGGAGAGAGAGAATCCCAGGCAGGCTCTGCATTGTCAGTGTGGAGCCTGATGTGGGGTTCAATCCCAAGAACCGTGAGATCGTGACCTGAGCTGAAATCAAGAGTTGGACGCTTAACTGACTGAGCCACCCAGGTGCCCCAAGCAGTGACTTTTTCGATCAAAAGTTTGAAAAACAGAATGTTTATAAAAGTTTGCTAACACCATTAGTTTAGGTATTTTAATCGGCCAAGCAGTACTGCGGAGAAGGAACATTGGACTTTTGCTCTGCATAAAAAGTCCTGCTCCAGGAGTAGCCAGTTGTACTGGATCATCTGGGAAACTGAAGGAGTTTGACACCTGAGTGTCTTTGACTGACTTCCACCATGGAACGAATGGCCCAGTTACATCACGTTTGCCTTCTATGAAAAGATAGGATAAAATAGGCAGAGAGGGAAAGGATAGGAGCTGAGATCCCTGGCTGTGGAAAAACACAAATTTTGGAACAACGCTGGGAGTGTCTGACCACAGCAAACCCCCTCAAGGAAAGGTTCCTCTTAAGAATGTTAACAGACCCCACCTACTCCCCTTGAGGTTTCCCTCAGCTATTTGACAAGAGACCCAAGTATAGCCATAGGCCACCCCTCATACAATGAAAACGAGCCAATCAGAAATGGACCACCCAGCACCTAGAGCTATCAAGCCAATAAGGGTAGGACCTGAGAAGGAACAACGGGGAAGGGGAGGGCTGACCAGAACCTTATGAAACAAGGACCCTGCGGACTGTCCCTGGGCATTCCCTTTCGAAGGTCCCCTCTCTGTAAAGAGAGCTTTCCTGTGATGCTTCCTTTCTAATCCTATATTCTAATAAACCTTTGTCTGTTGCTCATTTTGTGTCTACCTCTTTATTCTTCGAAGCTGCGAGACAACAAATCCCAGGTATTGCGATAAAAAAATCCTGCAACACTTCTGGTGTCCTGTTACTTTCATTCAGATTTTATCTGGACCCCAGATGGAAGAAGTATCCACGTAGTGTCCTAGAAACAAGCCATGGTGGACAAAATATAAACCAAGAAGGGACTCAGTGGGGGAAGCTGGTGTAGTCTACCTTCTTCCTGTTTTCCTTTCATCTTGCAATGTTTAAAAAAATGGAGCTCCGTGCGATGACTTTATCCACATTGTAGGGTGGGGGCGGGGGGCGGGTGGTGACATCAGGCAGTATGATTCTAGGCCCTGTCAAACATGGTTCATACCAAATGCTCAGGCCAAATATAAACATGGTCGGTTTATGCATTTTCAAGAACCAAACCCATGATTGCAAGCCTGCTAGATGCTGACTGTTGTACAAGTAGTTCCATTCCCTGCTGGTAGCTCAAACAGCTTTCTCTGGAAAGTCCTCTTGGCTAAATAGTTGTGTTTCCCCGCCCCCCCCCCCCCCTTCCTCCTCTCTAAGTCAATCAAACACACAGAACTCTTGAGGTTCAGCCGGCTACTAATGTCCACAACCGGCCCCATTTAATTGCAATAATGGGGATTTACTCTCCGGCTATTCTGAGGGATGGTTTTATCTACTGGGAAGCAGAGACCCTTTTGTGCAGCAGCAAAATATTAATATCTCACTATGCCCTTTTCCTTCCCCTTCCCTCCCAGGACCTGGAACATAAGATCAGATCAACTCAAATATCTTGGAAATAGTGCTTTCTACTGGCAGTTATTTATTTTGTTCATTTTTTTTTTAAAGTGACCTTAATTTTTTCCTTCCTCCTTGTGGCACTAACAGCCTGGAGCACAGAGAAATACAAACCCACCCCAACACACATCCGGACATTGGCTTCTCAGGCCTTATGTGTGTCTTTTTGACTCTTTGGAAATTAATTAAGAGATGTTGTTTTCAAAGTGCTTTTTTTTTTTTTCCCGGAGTTTCTCAAATATTTAAACAATTTTTTACACATTTAAAAAAAATGTCCCCTTTCTCTCTGTTTGTAATAAGATTAATTATGTGAGGTGCACCGCTGCTTATCCCCATGAAAGAAAATCTAAAACGAGGGATTTCAGCTTCAAGAAGGCTATTTTGTCCTGTTTCCGATGTTCTAAAGGGATTAATTTACCATATCGTATAGCCCTGGAAGACTGTGATAATTGAAAACATCCATATTCATTGCATGTTCAAAGGGATCTGTCTGACTTTGTAATGTAAAAAGTGCATTTTTAACCTGAACGGGGACCTGCGTCCGCTATTGCTTAATCCTATTAGTCCCAACAGTTCCAAAGCTTTAGTGTATAATCATTAGCTCGCGTTAATCCTGAGACATGCCTCCAGCCTCAGCCTGTCAGAAGGAATCCCTGCAGGGAAAATGTGGAGGCGCTGATAGCACAACACCAACTAATCTTATCTTAAACGCTAGCAGCAGCCTCTATCTGTGATAGCCAGGGAATTAAAAACAAATTTTTTCTGGGTATTGGATAGCCGGGTTTTCCTCATTCCCCACCCCCACCTCCCCATCTCTCTCCCTCATCCTCTCTCTCTCCCTCTCTTGCTCCCTCGTCCTCTCCCCCTCCCCCTCCCCCCCAACCCCCTCCTTCCCCCTCCCTCTGTGGGCCCTTTCCTCAGCTCTAGTTTCCCTAGATTCTTTGTTCAGGTGATGCTAGGGATGGCAACAAGGGTGGATGGAAAGGGGGTGGTGGGGAAAGAAACATTTAAGATACTTGCTGTTTCCGCAGTGGAGTTCTTTGCTTAGTCACCTAGGATACTTGCCAAGTCTGCCATCATTTGTCGTCCTTGACGTCATAAAGCCAAGCCAACCCTGTGCTCTCTGCGGCTCTGGATTATAATATAAGATGACAAAATGTGTCTTCTAGTTGTCACCTTCTTCCATGGCATGGCTTCCTGACAGTCTGAGATCTGGGTCCCCGGGTGCCTACAGAAGCTTGCCTAAGTAGAGAAGTAAACTGCCATAGATAGAGTGCTAGGGAGTGAGACCATTATGGGGGGGGGGGGGGGATGCCGGGGGGATTGGGAGCTGGAGACAGTGTGGGTTTGGGGGTGTGCTAAGAGGTCTATGAAAATGTTATCCCCAAGTGGAGGATATTTCAGACCAGAGCAGACCATGAGTAAAGGGGACATTCGCTTTGGAAGTGGAGATTTTTCCAGATGCGAGAAAGAATATTTAGTCATCTATGTACCAAACATTAGTTTAGGAATTACTATGTGTCTATCATGGGGACTCTAATAGTGAATGTGGTCCCTGCTCTCACAGAACCTGGAGTGGTGGTCTAGGAACTATTAATTAACCCTGAACAAAGAAAAAGTAGGCACATAAGTCAGTGATTACAAACTGTGATAATTACTAAGGCGCTCCATATTCTGACATCTGTTTGCCTGGATGTTACACATTCAGTGTGGTCATCAGTAAAATGTCTCCAGAGGAGCATGTTGGGAGTTCTGTGGTCCTCCTTTTCATACGATTTATTAAAGTTTAACTACTCGCCTGGAGATAGCCAGAGGGTTACACTTTCCCTCTGCCCCTCTAAGTTTAATTAAAATAGTAATTAAAATTTAGAGGCGTTTCTAAATTCAGGCGTTTTGGCAACATGACTTAGATATAATGCAACTGATATTTCAAGAACACAGTTTTACTTATGCTGGTGTTTCCCATCACCCGATGGATCTCATGCCATTGATGGTGTGTGGGATGAACAAATGTTTTATTTTAATATTTATATATTTTCTATTAGAAGCCCCTTCTGTTTACGACAGTGATTTGAAGTTTCTCTTTCAAATCCATTTAAACTAAAAGACAATGAACTCTTTTAAAAATATGAAATGAGTAATAAATAGGACAGGGCTTGTAAATAGAGGGCAAAAATCATGATTATGGTACCTGCATGACTTAATGTATGAACAACTATAATACGGAACTACTGGTGTTTCTAATGCAGTAAGGATTGGTTAACTATCCAGCCATCGCTGTGAAGACAAGAGCCGTTGCACCTGCTGGAGGAATATACAGCTGCCTTGGTTCATCAGGTAAAAGTGTTCATTCAACTAGAGTTTTCAGTTGTGAGCTGTGCTGCAAGTTAGTTGCCTAGACAAGACACACGTTAATGACAATAAAAAGCAGATTCTTGGATGTGTAAATTGAAGGGTAACGGAGAAATAAACATTTTCATCCTGGTCAATTCTGATGGACTCATTTGTTACATTTAGTTTATGATAGCAAAATGCAACTGTATATCGAACACTTTATTATTATTATTATTATTATTATTCTTACACTCCTAATGGGAAAAAAAAAGTTTTTATCTAGCTTCTAAGCAATCCCTTTCCACTCACTGATATTATTGTCTTTAGGACAACTATAAAGTTATAGCAGAACACAATGTACAAGAATGTCTTTGAAGCAAATCATCACATCATTTGTTTCTTCGCCTCTAGGAACATGTCAAGAGAATTACCTGCAATTAGATTTAAGGCGCTATCTGGACAAGAATCACCAAATAACCAATCTTAATTTTTCATTTTTTATTTCCTCATAGATCATTACTTTGCTACTCCATTGAAAGGGACTCCTTAGAGTTTATGAAAAATCTGAAAGTTTATAAAAATCTGAAAGTAGATTGATTCAGCCGATCAGACACTAAGCCACTCAATCATCTGATACTTTTTCAGTACGGTGCCTGCCGGTGCCTTGTTAGAAAGTGTGGAAACATGAAGATGAATTGGGCTTAGGATCTCCCCTCCAGGAACTTACCCTTTAAAGGAGGAGAGGTGATATATACACATCCACTTTTTATAAAAGCGTAGAAAGTATAAAAACAGGAAGTTTGAGGAACGTATTACTGCAGCCAGCTAGAGAGATAAGGAAGCGTTCCATGTCAGTGGTTTCCAACCCTGATTGCACACTGAAACATTGGGGAGCACTCAAAAGTATCAGCGTCTGAGCCTCACTCCCAAAGACTCTGACTCAAGTGGTCTAGGCAGGGTTCAATCATCACTAGTTTTTAAAAGCTCCCTAAGTGATTTTAATGTGCAGCCAAGGATGAGAACCACTGTTCTAACCACTTATCAATAAGAACTGGGTGGTTTTTAAATATTTTATGTGTACAATGTCCTATTTCTGATGAAAAAGAAAATGTCTTGATGTAACAGTTAACGTAGATTTTGTATATATCAGTGTTGATATGGATCGATGCATTTAGAATATTTCATCAAACAAATGTTTTCCTTTGTGAGATTTTTTTTCAAAGTATATCTATCTATCTATCTATCTATCTATCTATCTATCTATATATATACTTTTCAAAGTATATTTTAATTATAGTAATCAAAGACTTGGTTCCTACAAGGCACTACATGCAACAGTATCCATTAGTACATTGACTTAAAAAAAATCTTGCTTATTTACAATGGATACAGATTTTATCTACCTTTAATTGTGATAAAGAAACAAAGTCGTAATATTCCTTCAAAACTCTAAAAGTTGATCAATGTCCTTTGGAATTCTTTCAACTCTAGTTTTTCTTCCCTACAGAATTCTCTGCCCTTCACAAAGGTCTAGGGCCTAATTGTCACGAGGAAAAACACTGTCATAAATAGCTTTGGAGGGAGGACCTGTTCTGAAACTTACTCATTGTAATGGTAGAGTATTTCAAAAACTATCTCGAAATTATCAAATTGGCTTGCTTACTTTCTGTTGGCCCGATTACTCCTATGAAGAGAAATTTGGACGCTGGGAGCAAATGCTGCCTAATGGAAATACTATGAAAAAGATCTCTTATTTTCTCCTAAGGGCTCCTCATTAAGCAGAAAGCTTCCTGAGAACTCAGCCTCCAGCGTTCTGGAGAAACTAATGCAATGCTCCTTTCGAAATTGTCTGGTTTATTCTTTGGTTTTTTTTTTTGTTTGTTTTTGTTTTTGTTTTTGTTTTTATTTATATATGAAATTTATTGTCAAATTGGTTTCCATACAACACCCAGTGCTCATCCCAAAAGGTGCCCTCCTTAATACCCCTCACCCACCC